ATGATTCACACCAGACAGATGCATGTATACTGAAGTATCTCACATTGATGCTGCTTGCCTAGCTACCAGTAAGGTTTCATGGACTCTTGGCCACGCAGCAGCTAAAGCTGAGTAAGAACAGACATAAACTCTGAGTACAACATTGAGATGTTCTACAATTCAAATCCTTCTGCCAGGCACTGAGTGAGATTTGCCAGTCTAAACATATGTTTAAATATGCATTAATTTAAATAACCTTGGTCAACTCATCCTACCAGAGATCATCTGAAAAGATGGAAAACTTGGCAAAGTACTGGCGCTGTAATTAAGCTGCATTTTTTCCCTAAGGATTTAATCCCTAAGGATTAATCTACAACACCGTTTTAACTGTGAGTCACTGTTATGATCACTGCCCAATCTGCATTATATGCAAAAATTACAAACTCTCTACTACATCATGCGAATTGGAGGATATGGAGAGAACTTGCTAGCAAGATACAGGATTTACCCCTTGTTCAGTGAACGTCAGGAGGACTGGGGAAACAAGTTAATTTCTATTTCTGTATGCCTTTTTTTTGTCTAAGAGCCTCACTTCAGGGATTCACTGAATAACAGCTCATTAAGAAACAAAGGTTAATCTAACTCACCTGCATAGTAATTTTATATTTAAGATTTTATCTTCTGTCAAGTTTTTAATCAAAAATTACAATTAATCTATTGAAAACCAGCATCTGATACACAGCTTTGCATTGCTGACGAGCCAGTTCTTGGCTTCAGTTAAGACAACTGATGTTATCACACAAAATAGTAAATGTAGCAGTCTGCACCTACAGTATGTGTTAAAGAGATATTTCAAGTCACAGTTGTACAATCAGTCCTTCAAAGAAACTAATAAATGCAGATTCTCCACAACTGTGGATTTAATAAATCTGAGCAAATACTAAGTTTGTCTGACTCTTTAGAGCTCGTAGAATAGGGTTACAACAGCTCTGTCCTCCAACCTGAACCTTCATTAATGTGCTAGGGATGGTTAAAAAAAACCAACAACCCAAAGCCAATAAAAAAAGCATAAAGAAAACAAGACAAACCAAACCATCGAAAACACCAAGAAGGATTGCCATTGTAATGATCACATTTGCCTTAATTCCAGTTTCATTTTGTCAGGGATCAATGTTAATTTCCTTTAAAAAATAGCTATACTAAAATTGAACTAGGAGAACAAAGCAGAAGAAAACTCAACTAATGAGTCAGCATGAGGAATATTCCTCTATTTTAAACGGTTTTAGCATGCTCAGCTCCTTGAAAATAGGATTATTTATCCTTCAGTCTAAAAATTGCTACACTCAGTATACCCACCGGGATGATCAGACGCAATAACAAAATTTGATTCTTAACAGTGTTCACTGGAAGGAATATCATTAAAAGTCCCAGCATTGCCATCCATCCCTCGCTTCCAAGACACAGCTTATCTTTTCTGCCTTAAATATTTCTATGTAAAACATTTTTTTACATTTTTGTATGTAATGCAGGCTACTGTGTTTAAATTTCTAGCTTGCAAATAGGAATTGAAGAGTTGATTTCGGAAACTTCTGAATTAAAAGGGAAAGAAACCCACCCAATCTCTTTCTTAGAGTGTTAAAAAAAATCTCCCTTTGAGTAACCCCAGAACTTGTGAAGGAGAAATGAGGTTTTAAAAGCAGTATAATTTCAGGCTGCAGAATGAGACTCACAGATTATTTACTGCAGTGAAGGTGCATGTGTTGAATGGTGTCCTCAGGACCATGGTACACTAGAAAAAAGGCTGCAGGTATAAAGGTTTATGTTCAACTCTCCAGTGGAAAATTCCACCTAAAATACCATAGGAAGAAAGATTTTAACAGTGACAAATTTCATACTGAATCAAAGGTCAGATAGTGGGAGGTATTCATTCCACCCAAGTTTGACCAGAGCACAGTGTTTTGACTCACGCTGGCAATTATATCTTGCTTGTTCTCTAAGTTATGGCCTTATAACTCAAAGGTTTTCAGGATCCAATGTAGTCTCCATCATGGCCTTCACGGGAAAATGAAGGATAAGAAAAGGTAAGTAAACCTGGTTAAGCAGATTCGTACTTCAAGAAATATGAGTAAAAAGAACCATTTTGAACTGCAAAAGAATCTGAAGCAGCAAGGGAAAGCCTCAAGTCCTTTACCCAGACAGCTGCCACATACACTCCACCTGTTTGTGAGGTACTGCAGCTCACAGTCAAACCCAACATTTCCAAGTCAAACATTGTCTTTTTTTATACACCACTAGAAAAGGACCTGAATAACCTTGGGTTTTATATGTTTATATAAAAGTTGAGTTTGCTTAAGTCTGGAATCAGCAAGTAACAAAAGCAGAGGTAGGTCTATCCAAAATTCACTGAGTAAGTTGTAGAAGCTGCCATTAGTGTATAACTCAAAAAAGGAAGGTGAACGCATGACACTTGGTTTTCTAGTTGTTTCCATTTTTTGCATGTTTACTACTGCAGCAGCTAGAGACTACTTTTCTACCTGTCCAAGACCTCCTATGCCTTGCAACAAAGCCAAAGAAGAATGCATTAGAAAGAGATGTGAAATAAGAAAATAGATGGTTTATCTCCATTTTAGAAATTATATGCACTAAAAAAGAGGCAAGAAACATAGAAAGGAACCACAATTTTTACCTGATGTTGTTCTTAACTTTATAAAATATGTCCACTAAGAAAACTGCAGAGGGGAAAGTGACAGATTAAGAAGCTGAAGAAACTCTTAGGGTTGAGGAAAATCCTGAAGATGCCAGAGACTAGAGAAAAAAAATCCAGGAAGGTAGTTCACTTTCACACTCTGATTACAGAAGACAGCTGAGAGCTGGGAAAAGTATAGACAGGGTACCAATACTTCACAGTTAGTCATTGTATTGGTGATTTAATGGGCATATATAAACCAGAAATGGTAAGAGCACTGTAACTTAACTCCTCTTACTCAGCATGAGAAATTAGTTCAGATAAGTCAGTCAGTCATTGAAGTGACAAAAAACAAGAGAGGGACTAAAACATGTTTGTGCCTATGGCAGGGAGAGAAAAGAGAGAAACTAGATGCAGGGAGGAAGAAGAGGCAAAAGAAAGAGTGTGACATGAAATTTGCAAGTGTGAAGTAAGTGAAGAGACCAGCTTGAAAGGAAAAGCTGATATGGGCAATTCACTCAGGTCCCCCTCCCTCAATAGGCCTAGTTGTCTTCACATGAACAGTCATGTTCTGTCAAAAACTCTGGCTATCTTATTTGCTTCCTCTGCAGTCTGACATCCCATACATGCTAAGCTACCTGCAGGTCACTGTATAACAATCATGCAAGCTTAAAATTAAAAAATAAGCACGCGATAAGCAGACAGTGTCTCACTCAACATTAAAACTGAAATTCCCAGTGATAGTTAGAATCACAGAATCATAGAATCACAGAATAGCTTCGGTTGGAAGTGACATTAAAGATCATCTCGTTTCAACCTCCCTGCCACAGGCAGCGGCACCTTCCAAACGCCAAGCAGAAAGGCACCCACAATGTCTCTGAGGCAGTGCCCCTGTCCCATTGCCCCACTACCCTCCGAGTAAACAACTCCTTCCCAATATCTCTGTATCTACCCTTTTCCAGTTCTAGGTGCTCCCCTCATCCTGTCACTCCATGCTGCTGTCAAAAGTCCCTCTCCCCAGCTTTCTTGCTTGGCCCAGTCTAGGGATCTCCACAGAACACACTGAAAATTTGATTTGTGGAGATCTCTTAAATAATATGAAGCCATACAACAGCAGGTGTAATTTGTAAATTACACCTCAAGAGTAACATTATCATCTTGGCTATTAATTCTCAGAATATCCATTCTCTTCCCCTTTTTGCCCAGCACACTTATTATTTAAAAACCCTTACAAACCCACACAACTATGTAACTATATGTAGCACTGGAGAAGGACTTGTGGCATGGCATTGAACTTGTTCACATAGAATATTGATTTATTGGCTGTAAATGGCTAAGTTCCAAGATTGTTGCATAAAGTAATCTCAACACATTGCCAAAAAAAAAATCCCCATCCCAACCCGACCAAATTTTCAAATAGGCTTAGTGACAGGAGCTATGGAAAGAACTGCTACTAAAAAGTGTCTTTTAGGACTTTACATAACACCCACTAATAAAAATGGAAGCTATCTATGCTCACGTATCTGAGGTGCCCTGCATTATCAAGATCATATCTGCTGAGTGTTCACTAATCACTTCGTCATTTGCTTGCAAAGAGTTTCCTTTTGGTTTGTCTTAGAAAAAAAATAAGCCAGTTTTATGGCATCATTTTATGGCAAAATAAATTTATTGAGACGGTGACACACAAAGTAGGACAAGCACCTGCACTAAGATAGTAAACAAGTTAGAGGATCTGAACTACATACAACATAGTCCTATCACAGATTACTGACAGAAGAAAATATACCATTCAACCAAGGTAGAAATAGTTGTTTTTTCAAGAATTACTCTCCATCATCTGCAGCCTGTTTGAAACTAATTAAGTCTCTGACGACTAAAGTCCAGCAATCAAGTTCCTGAATTCCAGGCCAAATTCCCAGCCTGAAAATATCCTGTGTGTCTTTAGGTGTTAGCCATGAGCAGGAAACAGGTACGATGCAGAAAATGCAATTACAACAACGGGATAGTGCATAATTTCTTTTATTGGTAGACCAGCTTTCAGTACTTCTAAGGAGCTGACAGGAACAGAAGCCAACTACGAGGCCCTGACGAACTGCCCCGCTGCGAGGAATAGAGCCGACAAGTGCCTCGCTCTACGCCGCACCGACGAGCGGGCTCCTGCTCTCCCAGCCGGCAGCAGAGCGCTCGCTGCCGCCCGGCCCCACCGAGGCCAGGCAGCACCTCCTCCCCGCGGTGGGCCGGCCGGCAGGGCGCAGTCCCCTCCCGGGCCGCCGCCGGGGCTGCCGAGCGGGAGGCGACGGTGCGGAAGGGCTGCGGCCGGCACCCGGCTACTCACCATCTCCTGCCTCAAGAGATGAAGTTTCGTTTCCAGACGGGCCAGGGCGGCAGCGCGGCGGCGGCGCGGCCCGGGGGCAGCGGCGGCGGGGCGGGCCGGGAGCTCCTCCCCGCGCAGGGGCCGCGCCAGGCTCTCGGGCACTTTGCGCCCCAGCTTCTGCTCGACGTCGCGGAGGTCAGGCGGGGCGCTGGGGTCCATGGCTCGCCCTGCAGGGGCCCGACGAGGCAGCGACGGCACTACCCGCGGCCGCCCGGCCGCTGCCGGGGCGCGGAGGCGCGGAGAACCGCGGCAGCGCCGGGGACGGTGGATGAGCCGCGCGGGGGACCCGCGGCGGGCATGGGCATCTCCCGGGCGCACCGGCCCTTGGCGCCCACTCCCCGGCCGCCTGGGAAAGGCAACAGCGGCCGGGCGGAGCCGATGGAGAAAAACGGCCCCGCTTCGTGTGCGAGTCCGCGACGCGCCCCAAGAGCGGCGGCCGGCACAGCGCGACCCGAGTCATCCCGCGTCCCGCCCGGCTGCAACTTTAAAGCCGCGGGCAGGTGGAAGAGGCGCGGCGCGGCCCTCCCACCGCCGTGCCTGTACGCTGAGGCGCCGCACGCCCGCGGCCCCGGGGCGCCCCCGAACGGCGGGGACCGCGCCGCCCGGCCCGCTGGGCTCGGGAACACCGCGTCCCTCGGGGACAGCCCGGGAGGGGGAGAGGAGAGGCGAAAGGAAAGGCAACAGGCGAAAAAATAAAAAAGAGAAAAAAACTTAAAAAAGAAGAGAAAAACAAGAAGGGAAGGGGAAGGGAAGGAAGGGAAGGAAGGAAGGAGTAGAAAAATGAATAGGAAAATAAAAAGGGAAAGAAAGTAAAAAAAAAGAAAAAAAGTCATCCCTCCTCACAAGGGATAGGAGTGTGAGTGTAGTGTGAATGGTATTCCCACTCATCAGATTTTATTGCAGGCAAGTGCATTCCTCGTAGTATTTCTATTATTTTTTTTTTGTTCCTCCTCATTAAGAAGCAAAGCTTGCAAGCTGAGTCAGTTGCTCCAACTGATAGCAAGGCCTAGCAAGGCTGTGCAGATAGTAGTGCTGGATGTGTCCTGTTGCTCCTTCTCCCACGATGCTCCTTGTCCCATGGCACTGAAAAACATTTCAGGCACTAAAGTATGAATAGCCACATCTGTGGAGCTACAGCTGACACATGTCAAGGGGTTTGAGAAAGCAAGGCCAGCCACTCTAGGTGTCAGGTCCTCTATAACAACTAGAGTCACAAAGTGTGGTGCGGTGAAATTGGGAGAAAAAAATGTTTTTACAGCAAACTGGATGCTTTTGGTGAAATAATTTAATCTGTACTTTAAAATCTAAGATTTATTATCAGGGACCTTTGCAAGGGTTTAGTGTAGTCAAGTAAAAAAATCTGCAGCTGTATCTGATATCTTAAAGATGCATTGATTTTAGACCAGGACCCTTATCACTATAACTGTCTGGAAATACTGTGTGAGACACATATGAAAAGTCATTTATTTATTTCATGTTTGTCATATATGTTTGGTTCATATGACAAAAATGCTATTAATATTCTTCTCAGAAAATAAAGCCAAACCCAGCCACTTACAAATATGGATCTTCCTTCTTACTGCCACCACCCCCAAATATTTCCTGAATTTCTGTTTTGATATATTGATATTTACAGACTAACTTCTATATAATCTCATGTTAATATTGATTTATGTCCTTCTGTAAATTAGTTGGGATCACACTGAAGTTCTTCCTCTCTGAGCTATGAACACTTTGTTAAGTAAAATTTTAAGTTTTCATGACTGTTGTTATGACATTGAACTGTAGAACTTCTTTGTTCTACAAGAAGCATCCTATAAAAAAAATCATGATTCAACTGTATTCAGACTTTCTGTTTGAAGAAACCTAAGAAAAATTCTGAAATACTATTTTTTCTTTAAATATTTCAGATGACCTGAATGATCAAGCTTTTAAAAATGAAAATAGAAAAGAAATAATACAAAGAATTCATGCTAATTTGAAAAAAGGTTTTTCAGTGATAAAAAACTTCCCCAAATCCTACTCAAAATAATCTAAAAATAGTGAAAATAAGTTCTTTTTAATAACAACTTACAAAAACATTCAGAAAGTAAGCTGTGTAATGTACTCTATGCATTCATGAACTTATGTTTTCCCATCTGATGGCCTGATTCTTACCTCCCACTGGCCTTGCATTAGTATAGCAGCTAGCAAGTCACTAGGTATACTTTTGAATTACAAAGATTAAAAGATACGCCTCTGTTTCAGTCACCTTGTTAAATCTTCAAGGTTACCAATTTTGCTAAACTAGTGTTTCAAGGAAACAGGTTCCTCTTTAAGTAAACAAAACCAGCAAACAGTATGTAAATTCCATTTTCATCCCGTGGGACAGATCTTCTGTCTTCATTTTAGAATAACGAAGTGTCCTAACTTATAAGGGGTCTGTAAAGATCATCTAATCCAATGCCCTGCTACTTGCAGAACTACCTAGACTTAAACCCTATGATTAAAAACATCATCCAGGAACTCCTTGGACTCTGACAGGCTTGGTGCTGTGACCAGTTCCCTGGGAAACCTTTTCCAGTGACCATCCACTCTTGATAAAGAACACTTTCCAAATGAATTTCCCCTGAAGAATCTTCATTCCATTTCCTCGTGTTCCATTACTGGTCACCAAAGTAACAGGGTAACCTTCTCCACTGCCACTGTGAGGAACCTGTAGTCTCTGATAAGGACAGCCCTCAACCTTCCCTTTTCCATAGTGAACAAAGTGATCTCAGCTGCTCTTAAATGCCTTATCCTCGAGGTCGTTCAGCACCTTGGTCACCCTCCTCTGGACACACTCTAATAGTTTGATAGCCTTGTACCTAGGCACCCATATCTGCACGCAGGTCTTGAGATGGGCTGCACCAGTGCACTGTAGAGCAGAACAATCGCCTTCCTTGACCAGTCGATGGTGCTGTGCTTGATGCACCCCAGGACACATCTGTCTCTTTTGACTGCCAGGGGATGTTGTTGACTCATATCCAACTTGTCATTGCATAGATGTCTTTCTTTGGTGCTTCTCTTCAGTCTCTCATCCACCAATTATATATAACCAGGATTACTTTGTCCCAGGCTGAGAATCTGACACTTGTTAAATTTCATGCAGTAGTTAGTGATTCCTATCTCTAATTTATCTCCATCTTTCTGTAAATTCTCTCTATCCTTGAGGGATTAGCAGTTCCTCCTACTTTAGTATAACTGGCAAACTTCCTTAATATACATTTAATGCCCACACCCAGATAATTTATAAAAACACCAAAGAGCACTGGCCTAAAATGGAGCCCTGGGGAACCCCACTGGTGATTGGCTACCAGCCTGATATGACCCCATTTACTGTAATTTTTTGAGTCAACCAAGTGCTCACCCAGTGTATAATGAACTTTAGTAGCTGTGTGCTGGACATTTCATCCAGAAGGATGCTGTGACAGACAGTATCAAAAGTTTTGTTAAAATCAAAGAACCGATATTACTGCCTTTCCTTGGACAACTAGATGAGTGACTTTTTCATAAAAGGAAATTAATTTAGTGAAGCAGGACTTTCCCCTTCATGAACCAGTGCTGGTTATAACTAATGATTGTATTGTGTCTCAGGTATTTTTCACTAACTCTTAGGATAAATTTATTCATAATTTTGCCAGTCACTGCAGTGAGACTTACAGGCCTGTAATTACCAGAATCTTTCTTCCTACACTTGAAAGTAAGAATATTTGCTATGCTTCCAGTTGACTGGGACCTCTCCAGATTCCAAACACTGTTGTAAAAGTAATGGGGAGAGTTTCTGCAATAACATTAGCCAGGTTTTTCAGTACACTGCGGTATGTCCCATTAGACCACATAAATTTATATGCATCCAGGTGGAGCAGCAAGTCTCAAGCTGAGAGTTAGCTGCGAGTTTATAATTTCCGTAATCACAGCTTTGCAAAAGAGAGTTTAGGACTCACTGATGTTAAAGATACAGGCAAAAATGCAATAAACACCTCTGCTTTGTCTGCAGCCTGGCTATGAGGTGACTGACCTAAGCAAGTAATGGACCAGTATTATCTCTGGTTCTTCTTTTCAAGTTAACATATTTAAAAAAAGAAGGCCTTTTGTTTTCCTTCAAAGTGTTGCTCAGTTTGGACTTTAGCTGGGCTTTGGTCACATGAATTTACTCCCTATAGTGTTGAACAGTATCTCTGTAGTCTTCCTCCATTTCTCTGTATTCTTCAGCCCTGTGCTGTCCATACTTTGTTTGAGATTTAGAGCTTTTGGAATATCTTACTTTGAATATCTAAGTAAGGTCATTTAGATTAGTGTTTGCTAGCTTGGTTTTTTTTTTTCTTCTATATTTTTATTTGTTTTAAGTTCAGATAGAGATATTCATTAATTTTAATGCCTTGTTCAATACTCCTATCAATCATTCAATTCCTTCTGTAGCCAAAAGTCTTGATATTTCAGTCCAGCAAAGTGTGAATGCTTGTATGTATGAGACCATACTGTTCAGTCTCTTGTTAGATAGGCTTTCTATTTTCACATGATACAATCTGTGTCTCCCACAGGTTTTAAGAGCAAAGGAATAAAAGCTTCCTCATGTTACTCTACGGAGCACAGCGTAGTGCTAGACTTGCCTTAGGTCAAACCATGATTTTACATATGAAATTGGAAAGTGTATGTTATGTTAAAAATTTTGAAAGTAAACTGAAATGATTTCACTGTTTCTTTTTTTTTTTTTTATGCCTTCAACATATGAGGTCTGGAACACAGTGCTGTCTTTGTCTAGGAAAGTGAAAATACTGTTAAAAAACCCTATAGTGCCATCATGCAACACATCTGCATTTCCAAAGATCACATTGTCAACTTGATTTTATGAGCTTCAGACATGTAGTCTAATCAGGCAACTACTTTCAAGCAACTACTTTTCAAGGTGAGTGCTTTATTTTAATGGTAGTTTCTTAATAAGATTTAGTTCTTTAACGATTGCGTAAGCTAATCACATGGGAAATCAGAGGACAAAAGTCATGAAGCAGGACAACATTGGGCAGCTTGAGAAAGAAGGGGCTTAGAGCCTTGTTTTCAGTTTATTGCTTTTTTTTTGCTTTCCATAAAAGATAATTCTTATTGAAGAGGGCTAGACTTCAAAATGGAAAAAACCAACAAAACAAATGCAAATCTATTTAAAGTGATGTTATATTTAAGGGATGAGACAGAGCAGCTCAAATTATTTATAGAATTTATTTTAATAATAATGTATCTCTTTATAATACATTTCCATTTATATGAATATAGTCCTAGAACATCTTAAAGGACCAAAAGTGTTGTAATAGGATTCTGAAATTTTGGGATTTTCCCAAAATTTCAGAATCCCAGGTGCGATGCTAAGCACCTATAGTCAGGCCTTCTCTCAGCTAGAATTAAACTGAGATGAATTTGACTCAGTGCTGTGGGAAATACTAACCTGTCCAGAGACTACTCAAGGTTTTCAATGGACTGATTGGACAATCAGACAG